CGAGTACCCACATTATAATATTATTCTTTAAGCGCCGCCCGCACCCATTACAATATACCTGTACGACGCTGCACCGCATAACAATATCACCTCACACACGGAAAAAAATAGTTGGTTGTTTTAACTAAAATTATATGTATATTAGCCGTAAAATGTAGTTGCATATGGCATAGCCCTACATTTAGTTGCAAATACCAAATGGTTATAGTTGCAAGATTAATAGTTAATTTGACTACAATATGCAGTTGCTAATTTTTCTTACAATATTATTTAGTTAAATCAACCATAATTTTAGTGTAAATATATAGTTAATACAACCATAAAATGTATTAGTCTCACTATAGCATCAGTCAAATTTACCAAGTTAATTTTTTGAAACAGCTAAACATTTTAGTTGGCAATTTATCTAACTAAATATTTAGTTAAACCAAACAATATATTTGTTTAAATTTATAGTAAATAGAACTAAAAGTTTTATAGTTTTTACTATAACTTTAGTCAAATTTACTAATTATTTATTTTTGGAATAGCTAAAAAAATATAGTAGATTTTTTCAACTATTAGAAATGGTTTAATTTAAACTACTATACTTTTAGAGGTGACCAAGTAGGTATAGGAAAAAGAAAGTATAAGGATCCGCTGTAAATATAGTATATTATATATTATATACATTAAAAAAAAAAAAAAACAGATTTATAAAGCATAATAAAATATTTATTAATAAAAACATGTTTTTTTACACATTATAAGTTCATAACATTTTTGTATAACATGTGATGTTTATAAAGGTATATAAGATAAATTATTTGATAGGACACAATGAACAGTGGGATGTACACTATCTAATTTTTCAACCGAACAACATAATAATTGTTCAGTTAACTGTACATTATATGCTTGAAAATGTTCATCAAAATAATTATTTTCATAAATCTTACAAATAATAAATGGTATATTATCAGCTTGAATAAATATAGATATTATTAGTCCAAAAATTGGTAATATATTTGGATTATCACTTAAACTAACTAGAACAGACATATTATTACTATTATAAGTGGTTCCTTTAAAATTAATCCACGAAACAAATATTGCATCTTCTAAAAATTCAAAAGGGGAACATAAAAATTCAACTTTACTATACTCAAGCCGTGTTGTTTCCGAAAGAGTTATTTGATGACCGAACTGCATATCAATAATATTATTATTTGATGACAAAACTCTGTATGCTAAACTAAGTTGGTGTTTCAATGCCAAGGTATAAGGGGAGTTCTTACGAGATGTAATTGATTTAGCAGTTTCCTTAAGCTGTTTATGTTTGGATTCAAAACGCATAGACCAAAGTGATGACAATGGTCCACACTGTTCCATAATAAAAGGATAGTGTATCATATGATGGAATTTGGGTTTGAGGTGGGTGTTAAATAATTTAATATATAACTCATGGTGCTCTTTTATTAATACTTTACAGAGTTTAATGTCTTCTACTTTGAGGCATTTTCCTAAGAGAATATCTATGATTTGTTTTAAAGTAACATATAAACACCAATATTTTGAATGTAAGGGAACTAATTCACCAATAATTAATGCTAAATTCTTTGTGAAACACAACATTTCGGAAGCAGACATCTTTATTATACCGCGTCTTAATGATTCATTTGACAAAAGTGGAGGTCTGTTACGAATGTTAATAGGTCCATAGTTAAACGATTCTATCCTGTCATTAAGGATATCAATAGTAAAATAATTCAAGTCATATATCATAGTTTTTAACATCATACCAATATCGTATTTGCAAACACCCTCTAGGATATCATGCATGATATCAACGGCATAATTTTTTGTGACATGAAATGAGTTAATTTAGTTAAAAATGCAAAGCTGTTTTATTCCAGTGAGGGTTAGGTCATTAACTGCAACATCATCAGAATAGTTAACTTCGTTTCTTAGATTATTATCGATTTGTTCTACCTGATGTTGGCATTCAGTCTTATGAGACTTGCAAAATCTACATGGAAAATTA